AACACTGCACCTGCCACAAAATCTGCACATCGACGGGTCCAATTTGCCACGGAAAGTCGAGTTTAGTTTCCCCTTCGCCTGGCGAAAAAAGGTGATCACCAAGCCCGTATATGTGCACGGCAAACAAGAGCGCAGTCTCGAAGAGCCCACCAGCTTCTGCGAGCCGAAGCGCAGTCGAAGTGCACAGCAACATAGCCGGACACAGATGCGAGCAAAGCACCGCTTACTCGTTCAGTGGGGTCGAGGTACTACAGGGGATTACAGGGGTACTCAGTCGGCAAGGAGTCGCCACGGCTGATGGGAGTTTCTCATCACCACCCTTTGCTTTGCACCCGAACAATTTCCATGTGGTCTTAACATGTTTTTGAGGGTCAACCTGTATCAGGTATATATTCTAGTCCCACTGGGTGTGTTTGGGTGTGTGGTCACCACTTAACATCAAGCTACATATTCAGGCCAACACACGTGGTGTTACAAGAAAACCACCCATGGAGCTCTAAAGCCAGGTCAGCGGGAAACGGCCTGAGACCTCAAAGCCAAGTCCCCACAGTTGGGTCGTTCTGCAGGATGCAACAGAGCCGCAGCAGTGGAGCCATCGATGGTCAACGCTCCATGGTCCGGGCGCACGTCCGACCACCGAAGGAGTAGAGCGTCGTTCGTCACAGAGATGGGTAATAGATGTGCATACGAGGCATACCTTGTAGATCCTTATAAGTTCTACAGATGTTTGCAGTAGATGTTTTATCTCATAAGAGATGTCTTGAACATGTAGATCGACACGAGGCATACCTGTATATAGTCTAATTATATAGATGTCTACAAAGTGGTTTCAGGACAGTTGTTTTGATGTTTTGAAAATCTGATGGTTAGCCTGCCTATTGGCATGTGATGTGCCCACAACTACTTACTCCCCAAAAACCAACTGTTTTGGGTCCATGCAAGTATGTTGATTTGTAAGGAATCCCTAAGCCCTAAGCCAGGTCACTTTGAAGTTGGCTGGGAAATGACCAAGCAGGGAAGTTTGGAGAAAGGAGGTCAACGATCTTGCCACATCGGAGGCTTTACGGTGGTTTCTCATCCGTTGGATTCCGGGGAGCAGATGTGAAAAGCATTGAAAACGCATCAAAGCCCTCCCAAGGCTTACACAAAACATCATAAAGCAGCTAGAAAAAAACTGATGAACACATGGATCCTTGCATGTGTTGTTTTGTTTGATCTTCATCCAACAATGGCCCGCCCCGCTGCCACCTAGCCACAGAACGACCGTCCGGGTGTCAGTGGTACGACTCCCAGACACTCGGGACTGGACGATTGGCTGCCCCAGAAAGACCCGAGTATCCGGCACTATCCCAATGTAGCATATCAAAAATCTGAGTCCCATGGAATTGGTTGTTTTTTTGGGGCTTCATCCATCTTCATCCCATCAAGTATCTGAGTCTCTGGGATGGGTGTTGGGAAACCAGCTTCGAGAAGCTCGCCATTCTCCTCAGCTTCTCGCTCCGTCCGGAAAGCGCGCCCGAGGCCAGCACGAATGGCTTCCGGAAAGCGCGTCCCTGAGGCAGCTGAAGTCACTGTGCCGAAGGGGGTCCCGGAGCATCCTGAAGTACCCCCGGACCCCGACCTTGGAACTCGGACCCTAGGCCAGGACCCACAGCCAAATGGGACATGTGATCGTATTACAAAACAACAGGAATTTACCAGCAGTCACAAGGGGGTGGTGTTTCGTCCCCAAGTGAGTGGATAATGAGCACCCCTAACCTCCATGGATCGCACCCCTTGTTTGTGACTGCTGGTACTTCATTGTACTTAAGTACCCAATCTTCTCTGAGGTACGAACAGGTCCACTCCAGTCCACTCCAGGTGGATGTCGGGTTTGGGATGTTTGGAGGTCGGATGTGAATTGGTCCAACTCGCGGAACTCGCGGCTCCGTTGGAAACACGAGGGCGGTGCATGGAGCCGCCTCACATTGCATGGCGCCAAGCAAGTCCGAAAACCCATGTATGAACCCCATCAGGAGTCAGTAGTAAAGAACCCATATGAAATTGAAACCATCATCATCATGGTGGTTCTCATTTTGGGTTGCTTTTCATTGGGCCAATCAAAAAGAACAACCCGACTCATGAAAGCATCCGGATGTCGGCGGAAGAAGGTTCTGGGCGGAAGAACCCGACGACTTCTGTGTGAAGTCCTCTTCTACAGCCCCACAGGTCGTCTGTTTTTTTGGCGGTTTCTGGGTGATGTGCTATGTTCTCGAACTGGTGAAGTCCCCAAACCTGGTGAAGATGTTCGAAAATAGGTGTTTGTTGTTCCCTGGCTCCACGGCAAATCCAGTCTACTTAGGGTTTGTCCGAATGCAATACCTGTAACAGGACCTGTAAACAATGATCATCATCCTTTTTGGAACAAGGCCTGCAACCCAACTATCATCATCCACTGGGCCCAGGTAATGGGATAGACCCCAAGGCCCCAAGTATACTGTCTACTGAGTCCAAAAAACCGGCTCCAAACACTCCGCTCATGTGCAATCCCTTTGGCGACCCACCAAATGTGTCAAAACACTCCAAACCTGCGATAGTCCTATAATTTCTTTGTTTGCACGTGCTCTTAGTTATATATTGATATACATGTATATACCAGGGCCCCCGGGCCATGGAGTGGTTAATGGATACCCCTGGATACCTCTAAGGAGTTATATAATTAGACACCCCAAACACCAGGAACCTCTGGTAGTCAATTCATGTTCCCTGAACTCTTTACACACCAAGTCTACGGTGACCCTTCCGCACCCCAGGTCCACGGGAGCGTGGTGATCCGGCGTGTGACGACGGACCCACACCGCGGTCGTCCGGCGTGGTTTCACCGATGTGGGGACTGCGAGGGTGCCATCGAAGGAGACGTGAAATGGGTGGCTTAAGTCCGAAGTGACTTCAGAATATTGCTTTAGACGTGAGATAAAGGTCATTGTATGTTTGAGATTATGCACAAAAATGATGGTGGTATATGGTGGTGGGAAATTGGGATATTCAGGTTAAATCATCGTGTATGTGATACTGTGTTTTGCCTTACTTTTAAGCAGCTAATGATGATATTGATTTGCATGAACAGATGATTAAATTGAACCTTACAGGGTTTATGGAGTCACTCGGCAAACCTTCCAGTCTGGAACCTTTGCAGAAGAAGTATCCGTTGGAGCTACCCCTAGCAACAAGGACGAGGATTTCTCGGATGATGTTTGATCCTAGGATGTTTATGTAAATAATTCATCTGATTTTGGCGGGGTTATTCATGTGCTACATGACTCTACTTTAAAAGTGACTACGATACTTGCGGTAGCTAGCTCACCCTCCAATATATTTTTCTCGATTATGTATGCACATCGCAGTTCCCTGAAAAAGCACGGACATCTGCTCCGAATCCGGAGCCGCCAACCCCTGGCAGCAGGCATTTTGTTCTGAAGGATGATGATACCTGTTGTCTCGTTCATTTGGACATGCACACTGACAGGCTAGGCTAGGCTTACTCCTAACCCAACACCCCAAGGATTGCAAGTCGGTCATTGTCCGCGCCACACTTTTGCGCACGCGCAGTCCCAAAAAAGGGGCAAATCACAATGTGGTCGCACGTTCAGGTGTGTCTTTTTCTCCCGTTCGGTTGGTTGGAGGAACAACACCCCAGCATCGACATCGACACCATCCTCACCCATCCTCAACTCGTTCTCTTGCAAGACTTTGAAAGAAACAAATCCACTGCCCAAACACGCCACAAAAACCCATTACAGCCGTTCGGAGCCCGAGAGAGCCCTGCCGCCCCTTCGGAGCCCGGCGCGGCTTCGCCTTCCGAACCGAGCTCCGGGGGGGTTCGTCGGTTCGGAGATGTGACCGGATTCACCGGTGGTTTGGGGGTCGTCGAACACATGTGACATGCTGTGACATGTGTTGACCGACTGGTGAGCGCGCTCCCTCGTGGTTTTCACCGCGAGGTGCGGTCGACCGCGACCGGTGCGGTCGACCGCGAGGTGCAAGATGCCAGATGATGCATAGAAGTCACTGATTTGATGGAAGATCACCTCATGTTCCAACCAACTCACATCCTCGTTGAAACACACAAGCAGGAACTACGGCTGGATAGTGTCTATATCATGAAGAATTGGCATCCATCCAGTTCCGCTGCTCTTCCGTTGTCCTTTTCTTTCAGCTTAGCCGACCAGTCCGGACCAACTTCGGGGAGACGATCCGACGACGCGCTCCGTTTGGCACAACGACGTGCCGTTTGGGTGGGCAGGATGGGAACCTGAAGGGACGGTGAGCAGAAGAAGACTATTGTCTATTGTTAAGTTTACTTTCACACAAAGAACCTGGACAGTTCGATACTATGTCGATACTATGTCGATATTGTAAACATTTGACGTGTGAACTTGCAAAAGATTTAGTTTGGGTTGCGGTGTCATCCATTTCTCTGACATCACCGGTGTTTGCTTGCGCGTGCGCATTGTTGAGTTGTCGTTGGCTCAAGGCGAACCGCAGATCTGCCCATTTGGCAAGAACCCGTTGAGAGGGCCAGACTGGCAGCGCCAGCCCGCTTGAAGAAACCGTTTTGAGTACTTGTGAAGGGGTGGGAAAGAATTTGATGGTGTAAAGGTCCACGCATTACTAAATTCGGCCCTGTGAACTCTGAACTGGAACAGCCGTAGGAAGCCTATCATCCATGGCTTCTCTCGTGTGATGCCTCGGCTTTTTCTTCGAAGAAGCATGCACGGACGCACAATGCACCAGCAAACCAGTTTTCTGGCCTTTGCCAGAAAACCAGCGCATCAAAAGATGGAGAGCACAGGAGTTGGCCATGGAAAAACGGGTGGTTTCGTTCGTCCCAGTGAGTGGATGTTCTGTGTCTTTCCTCATCCTCCATGGAGCGCACCACGTCTCGTCACTCCTGGTATGGAAAGCAGTTGGACATACCCCGAAAAATAGTGGAAACTGACCCAGCTGACTCCACCAGCGCCATGGCGCGGGTGATTCCCTTACAGCAGGCGAGCGCCTGCGTGCGCCCGAAAACGATTGGAAATCCTGGTTTAGGTTGTTCATGGTGATTCGTCTATTTTCCCCATCGGGTTAAATCAGTTACACTCCCGGCGTTTAACATGGGTTTCCAGGGCCGGGGGAGGCAATGGGGCGGAACCTGGAAGCGCGTCGTGGTTGGCTAAGGATTGTACTAAAATCAATGGTAGTAAAATCATGTAAAATCCCCATACCATGGGAAATATGGTTTCCAGGTTCCGGGACAGCTAAATCCGTTGGCCGATGCAGACCCCCCGAAGAACGCTCGTTCGACGACGGCTGGAAGGAGGCCGACCATGGACTGTAGTAGCGACCCTCGTCGACCAAAGTCTCCTGGTTTCGAACCCAGAGCGACGCTACGAACGGGGCTCCTGGCATCGCTACTAGGAGCAAGGACGCTACTAGTAACCACCTCAAGGCCCGAGAAGAAGAGGAGCGTCCGCGGACCGCTGCGGCCACGGTTGGCGTCGCCGACGTCGACGCACGGTGGGGCATTGGTTGAAGTTCCCAAGAAGCACTGCTCGACGTAGACGGTGAGAAATTCTTGAGAGAGTGGCGCCATGTTGCGCCACTCCTGTGGGGTGGCGTTTCGCAACACTTGCCGTCTTACAACTCACTGGTGGTCATGTTTTGGACGCACAATGTTGATGTGTTTAGAGTCTCAGGTTCAAGATGGTTTAAGCACCTTGTTGATCTTTGGAACAAACGCAGGACATCCTTCTTGTACAGTAATTGTATCGTAACCTATCTATCACTGTCTTTTAAGACCACCGCTTCTCGGGGGGGCTTCATCCTTCTCCAAAAAATCATAGAACGCCACTCAACAGATCCCCCACCATGGTGGCGTCGCCTGCATCTCCACTGCCATACCTTGCACCTCCAGGTGGACCAGCGCTACGTCTCCCCGGGACGCCCCACCCCGCTGCTGCGCCACGCCACGCCCACCGCGTCGCCCTGGGGCGCGCGCAGCGTCACGCCGACGCAGTCGCCGGTGGTGCGGCGCGCCGCGACGCCGGTGACGACGCCGGGACAGCTGCCGGTCTACGGACAGCTGCCGGTGGCGTGGAGATCATCGATACCAGCACCTTCCAAGGGGTCATCAATAGTACCAGCCCCCATGGTATTGCTAATGGATCTCCAGCTAGGACACCCCTTGCAAGGTGCAGGTATGTGAGTATGTGTTTGTTTGGGTTGGTGGTTGGTGGGGGTGGGAAGGGTGTGGGAAGAATTGAAATACTGAGACTGATATAGTTAGGCTTGGGTATAGTTCGGGTAGTTGGTTGCTTTCCGTTGCTTTCAGTTTAAACCCTGTAGGTGGAAATCCTCTCAAGGCAGAACTTGTTCATGAACTTGGAGTGTACATGGAAGAGAGGAGATCCCATGACACGGGCCAGTGATGGCCAGTGGGTGTTTCAGCCAGAGTTGGGGGTCTCAGCAGGTCAAACGGCACAGAGAGAGCAGGTCATATGGTGCTTGCCAATGTGTGACCATGGGGGCTTACAGTAGGCCCTCCCGCCAAGTCTTTCATTTTTCATCCAGTTCCCTTCTGAGATAGGGTGCATCCTTTTCAAAAAGGCCACAAATCTCACTGGTCTATGGTTCTTTGATTGCTGTAAAGTTGAGTACAATCCCTCCTATCTCCACAGCTGGTGAGCTAGCCTTGGTTCTTTCAGCGAACCCACTTGACAAGGCAGGGTTTCAGATAGCCTACGATAAATTAAACCGGAACATGTGAAAAGAGGTGTTAACTGGATAGTAGGACTTGCCATCGTGCCATCTTGCCGATGTGGCAACACGAAAAGCATCGATTGCTTGGTTTCAGTTCGCACATGTTTCCTTTGTGAGGCTACTTCTTTCCCCTCGGCTGTTGATTCAAAACCCACGAACCCATCCAGAATCAATAACATGATTTCCTGGCGGCACAGCTCTTCACCCAGGGGCTGCAGCAGCACTTCCTTGTCACAGAATCCTGAACCGAGCAAGCAAATGTTCACAAAGAACCACATCTACTCCAAGACAACTTGCTCCGAAAGGGGCTAGTCACAGCACAGACCTGCTCAGCACCTGCCCTCCCCAAAACATCCGCCGCTGGCGAACGTCCCACGCATGGCCCACGCCCGCTCCGCTCCCACCGAGGCCTTCCCCAGCTACACCGCTGCCGTGGGTGTCCCGGCCGCCCCCGTCGCCGGGCTCAGCACTTGGAGCGCGCGGCCGGCGCCCCTGGAGTTGGCGGCCGCTCGGAAGGGGAAAGCGAAGTGAGGGAGTGGGGGGGAAGGGGGTTTGGATGCGGAGAAGGGTCCACCATGGCCAAGAGGGGGTGAAGAAGGTGAACAGTATAGCCCAATCACGATGCCACCTGCGTGACTTGTGTGCCAACATGTGCCAACAGTTTGTGATCCAGTAGAAGTAGACAAAAACCAATTGGATGGGTGCAGATAGGTGACTGCACTGCTGAGTTCAATCCAAGGTCTATGATGTATTGGGGCTGTCTTATTACCTGTATCAGTCAGTAAACAAGTATCACTGTTCCCCAAACAGTGTGGTCACACTAGGGGTTCTTACGGTAGTGGTTAAGGGCCGGTGTCTGATCCAGGTGTCGCGCCGGCGTGTCCGGATCATTCGCTGCGATTTGCAGTATATTCATGCCTGTCGAAATCCGCACTTCGACTTGCGCAGGGTCGCAGAATCTGGTTGTCCGCGGGTGTTTGTCGCGACTGCGCTCTTGTTGTGGTGCCATGCGCATTTTCGGACATGGTGGTCACTTTTCGTGGCAGGCGCAAGGGAACCTCGTGATTTGGTGGTCCAAAGTCCACTTTTCGTGACAGGTGCAAGGGATCGGAGCGGTGCTATTTCGATATGCAGGTTTCGTGGCAGGCGCAGCACTTGGTCATAGTGGTGATGTTGGATGCGTTCTACTTTCAAGACAGGTGCAGTGAACTGTGACGATTCTACATGTGGCTCGTTTTCAGAAATCGGTGGAAGTCTCGCGCGAAAGCTGCGTTTTAGTATCTGCAATTATGGTACTATCATAGCTATCTTTGGAAGCGTTCTTGCGGCACAGCGCCTTGTCAGGGCTGCCGCACGTGAATCTTGAAGTGCAGACTTCGTGGCAGGCGCAACACTTGATATATCTATATGGTTTATCACAACTCTGGATATCTTCCTTGAACAAGTTATCCAAAATCATACCAACATAATAAAAGTCATAAAGGACATTGTCATACATGATGGGGCTATTGGCCAGATTTCAGACACCCTCAGCATGTTTGCTGCAAGGCACTGCAGCGGCGACAGATGGAATGCACTGTTCAGGCTGGCAGTGTTCCTTCGCTGTTCTCCTCACGGTTCAGACGCGCTGTGGGTCAAGACCGGCAGGAAGGAACAAAACGACCGCTCAATTGGTACCAGCTCAACGAGAAAAAGCTGGCGCAGCTTCGCCGCGAGTCAGAAACTGCATTGAGATCGTCAAACCGTTCCAGCAGAATGAGCCGATGGATCGAGCCGGGAGAAGCGCTTCGGAAGCAATTTTCAGTCCCGCTGAGACAGCCAGATTTGATTGTGAACCTCAACGTGCTGATTTCCTGGCAGGCGCAGCACTTTGTGAACCTCGAAGTGCAGATTTCGCGGCAGGCGCAGCACTTTGTGAACCTCGGAGTGCAGTTTTCGTTCCAGGTGCAGCGCTTTGTGAACCTCGAAGTGCAGATTTCGTGGCAGTCGCAGCACTTTGAACCTCGAAGTGCAGATTTCGTGGCAGGCGCAGCACTTTGTGAACCTCGAAGCGCAGATTTCATGGCAGTCGCAGCACTTTGAACCTCGAAGTACAGATTTCGTGGCAGCCGCAGCACTTTGTGAACCTCGAAGTGCAGATTTCGTGGCAGGCGCAGCAGTCTGTGCGCGTGCTGTCAGACTCTCACTCACACTCACACTCACACACGCTCACGCTCCCACTCACTCTCACTCACACTCACTCTCACTCACACTCACACTCACTCTCACTCACACTCACTCTCTCACTCACTCACTCACTCACTCATTCACTCACTCACACTGACTCACTCACACACTCTCACTCACACTCTCACACTCACTGCCCCACTGTCTCCAGTCTTGTGTGGGTGCTTTGGCCGCATACTCTGGCCGCATGTTTTTTTTCATTCGCCTCCCACTTGTCTCCTGCTGTCTCGAGTCCCTTCTGCTTTTGGCCGCGTAATTATTTTTCATTTGTCTCCCACTTGTCTCCCACTGTCTCCAGTCCCGTCTGCTCTGGCCGCCTGATTTTTCATTTGTTTCCCACTGTCTCCAGTCCCTTGTCAGTGCTCTGGCCGCATGATTTTTCATTTGTCTCCCACTTGTGCCCCACTGCTTTGGCCGCATGAGTGCGCTGGTCGCATGATTTTACATTTGTCTCCCACCGTCTCCAGTCCCTTGTGGGTGCTCTGGCCGCATCCCACTAGTTTCCCACTGTCTCCGAAACTCATGCGCGAGATTTCCGGTCTCCGCGCTGCAAGAATCAGCCTCTTGCTTGTGCAGCTAGTTGCCTTAAACACTCCAAGAAGAGCATGACAGAATAACAGAAATATCGAAAGGGAAGAAAATTCCAGGGCGCCGACACAACTTTTGGCGGATTGTGTCTAAAGATTCAGCAATAGGATTGCTTGTGTTGTTCACAAAACCAGACGCCACTGCAATGATTTGGTGCTTGACGCCTACATAGCCAATACTATTCAATACCAAATCACCAAAAAAAATTGGACGTGGACAAAACAAGCTGTTTGGGGTCAGCGCTGGTATAATGTTCTTTCAACACTCATTGAAAAGCACCCCGGTTTCTCTGGTCCCTTTTTGCTGACATGCCAGACGAGGAGTAGAAAGGAGTGCTTTCCAGGCACAGCAAGTGAAACATGTGTCTTTGCAGTTGGCAAAGGACACGCGCAGGAAACGCAGACGCCCATGGGAATCGCACGGAAAACGCAGCTATTGAAAACGTGATCCAAAAATATGCAAAACGCACACAAAACGCACTGAAAATGCAGCTATCGAAAACGAGCCGGGCGGATCACCTTAGATTTGAGCTGATTGTTAGGAATGTCTTGGGTCGCAACGCTAATCGTGCACCACGGTTAAGCATCTACAATTTTCGTCGTTCGCATTGGTACGTAGACACGGACCGTTCGTTTTGGAGTGACAAGCACTCCATTAAGTTGCAAAACGGAAAAATCCACTGACTGGTGATAAGATAGACCCAAACTATTATTTATTAATATAGACAATCTCTTTTCGGAAGAGCTGTCAGTTGTGGATGTGGACTACATATAGAGGTGCTGCATGTGTGCGTGTTGACTCACAGACAGACAGTGAATTTCGATTATTAGCCATATGTTTGAAGGCGTCCATCATTTCACCTTCAGTTCAACTGGAGATGACGACACGCAGTATTTGCCAGCTCTCATCCACAAAGCCAGCATGACCTGCAGGATAGACCATCGAAGTTTTCATGTGTAATGTGTTGGAGAACCATTCGAATCATGACTGGGTTGTTCTTTGGCATAGCAAACCGCCACGTTTGGAGAACCCTTCGTACGAATCGCTGCTTACGGTCGGACCTCGGTCGAGGTGGGCATCGTGGTGCGAATCGGCGCAGTGCAGTGTGGCTCGGCGGGCTCGACGCGCCGGTTCCATGGGAGGAGCGAAAACAGAAGGAAACCGAAAGAGGTGCATATCAATGACGTCAAAAAGACTTCACAGGTGTGAATTTGGTGAGTGTTTGTTGTTTTTCTTCTTAATTAATATATGATTTTAAAAAGTGGTGTCCTTTTTGATATGTATACTGTCCGTTTCTACGCCGGTGTGTTTTGTTCAGATGCAGTTTTCATGGCCGTTTCTCTCTCTTCCGATGCTATGACGTTCTCCCCGGAGGGCTGGAGAACTCCACCGTTCAAGGCATGATCTCCGAGCCCTTGGGCATGGGTTCCTTTGGCGTGGTCTGGGCGGCCAAGACCTCTGCAGCACCACAGGCGCGGAGTATGGGGCGGTGCGCGGAGTAGCGGAAGTGAGCGCTTTCCTGGGTTCTGTTGCACAAACAGCACGTTGTTTGCCATTGTTTTACAACACTCCACCAAATTGAGGCGGTGGTTCTTTCTTTTTGTGTGAAGTATCCCAAAATTCCCAGCGACTTTCCGCTCAACCCATCCACTCCCACTGCGCCAGGAGGTGGCGGTGAAGGAGATGATTTGCAACAGCGACACCGAGCTCGGCCGAGCGGAGCGGGGTGCGGAGACGAAGCGGGGTCCGCCGGGTCAAGGGCTGGCGGTTTCATCGGTGTATAGGTCCTAAAACCCATTGAAAAGGACTCGGATGAAGGAGTCTGGTGGCTGGAAGCCTGCAGTTTTGCGCATCTTCAGGGTCTTGAAATGTCTTGAACACTGCTTAAGGTAGTTTGCAGACTCGAAGCTCGTGGCTCGCTCGTTCTAGCGGCTTTTGCCCCTCCGCCTGGTCACCGGTCGTGAAGGAGTATGAGATCAAGCTGCTGAAGATGTCCGGGCACAGATATCCCGCAGATAGGATGGGGGTGGGACATGTCAAGCAGGAGTTCTGTGATGTGGTTTCTGTCAGGAAACCGATATATTTGGATTATATATGTACTGGAAGATACACAAATGTGTGCAACCTGATCGTCACGACAGTCACTACATGCTTCATCCTATAGGTGGGATCTTAGATGAACCATGCATTCCGGACATGATGCTTTTAGACTCCGGATGTGAAAAGACCTCGGACCCAAACCCTTCCTTTTGCGATGTGGACATTGTTGGGCACCAGATGGATTCACCAAGTTGTCCAGGGAGACACCCTTCGTTCACTCGCCGTCACCGGGTCCAGCTTTGACGGGTCGTCCGAAGCCGGGGGCTTCGGTCTCTCGAGAGATGGGAACGAAGAGACCCCCGCTATAGGGGGTGTAGGGGGTGTCCTTCGGAATCCTAGACTTCCAAGAACCCCCCCCCTCCTGGCCCACCTGAGAAGATGGGACAGGGGTGGGTGCCAGGCGGTCCAACCACCCGAGGATATGGTTGGATCTCCTAGAGGTCAGGAACTTCCGGAAAGACCATTACAAAAATGGGAACGACCCCTGGTCTTTGTCGTGTAAAGTCCTCAGTTGGTTCGGGATGTTCGGGATTCAGCCCGCCTCTTCAATTCATGCTGGGCCCATCCTATTCAGCCGAATTAGGGAAACACATACCTCTCCAGAGGTAGCAGAGGTACTGGGGACCAGCCGAATTAGGGACACCGCAATGGGGCCCATCACGACCAGCCAGCTGAGTTGTGGGCCCATTCGACCAGGGGACACATGCCAACAGAGGTTTTCCCATGACCCGGTCACGTTCGGTCTTCCGGGTCCGGGTCCCGGGAGACCTGGCTACCTCTGTTGGTCGTGACACGGTCCACCCGACCGAGCGACGCCGGATGCCGCCGGACGCCGTGCGAAGGCGACACCGCACTGCCTTGTGTAGAGACCGGGTGCAGTTGTCGACCGGGGTCAAACCAGCCGGTCCAAGCGGTCTGGAAACCGTGTGTTCACATCCGTGAGGGAGTGTTTCAGTGTGTAGAGACCTGGTACAAGTGTGTGCTTTGACCCTTACTTTGGGTTGCAAACCAACTGGCACTGAACTCAACAGGCACTGAAGCGTGATATGCGCTGGATCAACTCTGGGTTTCGGGACAGTCCGGCCGTCGAGCCACCGACTGTCCCGTCCTGTCCTTCCGAAAGAATGAAAGGGATGGAATTGGATAGGTTTGAGAAGGACCATGTGACTCGACACTTGGAGGATCCCGTTTGGGTCAGTTGCGAAATTTCCCACCCGTTGTGTTATCAACGAAAGAAAAGACACTACGGTAGCACCATGTGTTGACCAAGTGGTGTGTTTGTGCCAAAAACCACCAAACCTGCCTGGCAATACCTGGCATGAGGAATTGGGGAAATGCGATTGGCTGCCTCTAGCTTCGGCTTTGAGCATTTTTATGGAGGGCCTCATGAATTGGATGAGATTTGTGGAGCATCAACATGGATTCGATATGATGTGATCCAGAAAGACATGTTTAACCCAGTACTTCATGCCGCCTCTGACCATAGGGATCCACAACCTTTAGATGGACAAAGGAGGGCAGAAGGAATTGTTCTCATATACACTCCATCCATAGATCCAACATGTATCCAACCTCATGTTCTCGCGCTTTCACGCACTGTCCCAACTTGAAGGCCTCCAAAACAGGCATCAAAGCACCACTCACCACTCACCACTCTCGTGTCCTCAAGCTCGGCGGACCATCCAACAACTGTAGCATGTCTTCTAAACAGTTTCTTCTTCCACATCCTTTTGCAGCCCATCCCAGTGTGGCGCTGTCAGTTGCGGCGCCATGGACGCTGCGTCCAGCGTCACCTGCGCGCTGGCGGCGCTCGCGTTGCGGCTGAAGAATGGGCAGCTGACCACCGCCGGTGTCCTGGCGGAAGAAGGCGTCAGGACGTGGGTAATGGGGCGGAAGAAGGGTCGCTGGCAATGGCGGGAGTCATGTTTTGTGATAGACATGATGACATCATTAAGCTATATAGATATATACATGGGTGAGTCATGTTGAATCTATCATTGATTGTCAACCATAATCAAAAACACCAGCAGTTTGTTCATCAATCTCGATGCGGAACTGTTAAGCTTGGTGGAGTGAGTTTTGTTTTGGAATTGGGGCCCTTAAGTTCTGGGAGTAAGTGCCAAATATCCTATTCACCCCCCCAATGTCATCAGCCAGCCATGTCCTTCATTCAAGGTTGATGACTGATAGGTGGTCCATTCAACCAGTAGCCAGTAATGATGGAACACCCAATGATTGCTCATTGACAAATTTTTGGGGCACGCGGCACGCGCACAAACTTTAAGCCAGCAGCCCAGCCGTATGGACTAGCAAAACAGCAGCCGGCTGTTTTGCCACGCAAAGAAACACTAGCCCTAGGGCTCCAAGTACCTCCTCAGAAGGTATGACTGGAGCCTCCAAACCCATTTGGATCTTGAACCAGTGCAAGAGCTCTTGCTTCAGCAGTCAACTATAGGAGCGGATGTGAGCCTACCCCCGTTATGTGGGATTTCTTGATAGGTCTTGACTCGATTCGGCCCTGGCTGCCGCTGTCTTCTGAGGCAAGGCCCTCTTGGGCGCTTTGCCCATCCTCTTGATGCAGTGGCGCCAGCGGCTGCAGCGGCAGAAAGCAGCCAGGGGGACGCTCTGATGAGGATGTCCATCACGTCCGGGGCACGACTGATGGTCTAGATGTCTAGCATGTCAGGGCAGGGCAGGGCAGAGACTTGTTGTGTTCTGATGTGTAGTTGTCAGGGGAGGGCCAGGTTGGTGGAAAGATGTTGTGCTCCATGTTGTTTGTGTTCCCTTTCTCATGTCATATAAGCCAACATATTGTTTTCCCACAGGTGGAGGTTTCTCCACCTTAGCCGGCGCTTCTCCGGCGGCGTTCTCGCGCGGTTGTCGCTCGCGCCCAAGGAAACACCCGGGCACTGCCGAGCAGCGGGCCTTGTGCTTCAATCCGGCGATCCAGAAGGAGGACCGGTGAGCTGGCAAGCGTGGCACGAGGCGGGAGCGGAACCTGCATGGCGGTGGTGCTGCGACCGCTCGGAACCAGCTGTTGTTCTTGGAAGAAAGAAAGACCCTGGAATCACTGGACGTGGGGAGCTTCAGAGAAGTACGGAATAGACATATATCCCTAAGGATTCACGACCATCCGAATCGGATGTCCTGCCAGACCCCCCGGCAACGACCAGCACGAACTCACCTCCGTTCGACCATCCTCAGAAGGTACCTGGACCCTATGGGTATATATAATTATACATCCTTGTGGGGATCTTGAGAGTGTTGCAGGAATTCAGGGATGAACTGGTTCAAACTGGTTGATGCTGGAGCCCTTTCAGTTTGAAAGCGCTGCCCTGCTCTTTCAGCGCTGCTGTTTCAGCCGAGTGGGCCCTAAAATTCTGCAATGGGCCAAGGAAAGAGATCTGCAGCAAAAGGGACCTATAGAGACCCATTTGAGGTCCTTCTTTGATAAGACTGTCGCCGACGTAAAATCAGTCATTGTCCCAGACTTCCAGGGAACTGGCCTTATGACTAGATCTGCTTCTGCTCATCTCCACAGACCCCGACCTCCTCGACGTTCTTCGACACGGCCGCGCACGTCGCCGTTCGCCGTTCGTCGGAAAGGACTTTGAGGAGCGTTTCATTGGGACGAAAGAGGCTTTAGAGCGACTCGGAGTGCAGAGATGGGCCGAGCACAGCGGTGGGGCGGCGGGGTGGGGCGGGCGGATTTCACCGAGGAATACCAAGGATTTGGCAGGCCAGGAGCCCCGTTCGTAGCGTCCTTGCTCCTAGTATGAACTTTGTTCGTCAAGGATTTTTCTGAAAAATTGACCGTGGGACATCCATTCTGTTCATCACTGCAACGGTCCTGTGAGCCAATGTGATGGATATGCCCTGGCTGCCTCCAATCTTCAAGCAAGACACCCAGCAAAAAAGACCCCAGCAAATCACAACACCTTTGGAATTTCACCCAGCTCTTCTCGTTCATCCGGTACTTCACCCACCTCTCCGCGAGGTCCGGAAGCTTCGACTACATCGTCGTGGGCTCCGGCAGCGCCGGCTGCCCGCTGGCGGCGCGCCTGGCGAAGGCGGGGGCCTCGGTGCTGCTGGTGGAGGCGGGCGGCGAGGCGCAGCGCAGCATGGAGGTGCAGATGCCCAAGAAGCGCCTTGGAAACCAACGGCGGCTTAACGGTGTGGGAACCGGCAGGAAACCTGTGGGTGTGATGTGTGGTTTTTGTGTGTTTGGGAGTTGGTTGTATGGTTGTTCTTTTTCAAACGGTTACTTTATATTGTTTTTTCTATATATATTATATATTGGCTTTAGTGTTTGGGTTTTAGTGGGGCTTTGTTTTTTTGCTTTTTTTTGCCGGGGCGCGGGTGTTTGTGTGCTTAATTATGTGGTTTGGTGTTATTCTTCTTTAGGGCGAAGGGCGGTAGGGATGGTTGTCAAGGATGTGGACGATGTTTTTAAATGTGTTAAACAATGATAACGATTTATATTGAGAAAGGCCTGCAACCTGATCAGTGTCATCGACCCAAAAGATAAATTTCATTGATGTGACATGTTCATTTGATACCCGTTTGGACAGTTCAAGACACATTCTCAGGTCCTTTCCTTTCCTAGTAGCCGCCTGGCAACATTTCAGGTGTTCCCCGTTGGCGGAGTCTCATCATTTGGGCACAGACTCGGGTTAAAAGAAATGAGCTATGCCAATGGCTATCCATCTAAACCATTCTAACCAACTGCTTCGGCTTCGGCCACGCGGCCACGCCTTTCGCAAAAACGGTGAAGTCTAGTTGAGAGACTCCGCCGCCACACGCCAATGGACCGCCTCCTCTCGTTCTTCGAGTGTCACGACGCTTCGATTCGGCGCCTTCGGTGAGGATGTGGCGGCTGTGGCAGTCGGAGGCGGGGTCGCGTGTGTTGGTGGTCTCAGGAGAGTCCGACTGAGCAGCGTCCTTCAAAACCGGGGCCAATGTAGTAGATGGACCCTAGTCATGGCCAGGGCGGCGCCTTGGGACCACCTTATCACTTGGAGTAACTTTATCTTGGAGTGCAAGGCTCAAGTCAGCAAGAGCGAGGAGAACTGGCCGGGCCGGTCCTTGCCTTCCATGCGGGCATGAAACGCTGGAGCTTGCCAGACCTTTGTTGCGCAAAAGTTGATTCGCGCTGGGGCTGACTGTGCCGAAACACCCCATCTCTGCGCGCAGGGCCTGGTGACACCGAGGCACAAGGATAAGAGGAGGCCGAAGAATAAGCATTGAAGAGACCTCTTCTTCGGCCTCGAAGACCAATTTTGAGGACAAATTTTTGTTCGAGCACCCTTAGCATCAGCAGAGTCTCAGCAGGAAGGATGCAAATCCTTCGGGGTTCGGGAGGCTGCTTTGAGGGGTTTGTTTGGTGCAAAGCACTTTAAAATACAGTGTTTTTGCAAAGTGTATCTAGTTTATGAACACAAGGTTTTGAGGCTAAAGGTTTACAAAGTCCTGACTACGATATTGCGCTTATATTCGTGACTTATTTGAAGAAGCCATATAAGCCCAGGTGGTGCTAGAAATGTCGGCCGCAAACGGACATTTGGAACATCACCAGGACGTATGTATCTATTTGGAAAAGGGTCAAAAATAGATGAAAATGTCTAAAATGTCCAAAAATGGCTACTGTAGAGTTTTATCTCTAGAAAAGGAAGGATGCATTTGTGTCGAGCACCATTGGCATTACCAGAGGACGACGAGCAGCATTGTTCACATAAAAAGCAAATTCCTTAGGGGATTTGGAGGGCGCTTTCAAGATTTTGTTTGGTTTACGGCTAGGCACAAAACACTGTAAATTGCAGTGTTTTAGATGAGTTTGTGTAGTTTTTTGGATAGTTGTCAATGAAAGTGGAGACCTTTGGACAGACTGCACCCTTTTTAATGTTCCAGATGACTACCTCTGGGAGAGAGAGTATGCAAGACGGCTTCGAGAGTCTCTACACGTTGATGGCTTTGGGCGGGTGAGACTAGTGAAGATCCGATAATGTTGGTGATGCTTGATGCTGCTAAAGGGTGATGCTGATCATGTTGGATCCTTGTTGGAACTGAAAACTGTTGATGTGATGTCGATTTTTGGTTGACGGCTATGTAGGCGAAAAATGCTGTAGAGTCCTAGGTGTTTTCAAAGTTCGAGTGGAAGAAGGCAGCATGCAAGGGGACAAAAACAGCGTAAACTAGGTCGTTTTTAAGTAGGGTTGGCGTGGGAAACGCTGAAAAATTGTCTTTTTCCGCATTTTCTAGCCTAGAACGATCTGTGTTTACAGGGCTCGCTGGCGCAAAGGTGGCTCCAACGTCGCTCATTGGGTGTGCATGTGCATACGTGTGTCTGAAGTTGAGGTTGTCGGGCGATTGGGTGTGTCGTGTGTTGCGCGCGTGGTTTTTAAAGGCATCTAAAGAATTCAGAATGAAGTGGACTGGGTCTAGTAAGGCTGCTCTTCAAATCAGCGAAAACCCTGCGGATACGCGCAGTGCCCCCCAGAACATCACCGGCTGGCGAAGCCTGTCAGTTATGTAATGGGTGTCATTCTCGTTTGGCCCATTAAAATCGTGCTTTTTGGGCCGGTCAACTGAAGTCATCGAAGTCAATGATTTGACTCGTTGCAGTGGATGGGGAAGATCGTGTCATCGTTGGAGTCCGACTGGACGAGCGCTTCATCTTTGGGTTGAAGCGTGTTTTGAAGGTTGGCTTGACATCCCAAACAACCATTTGCCAAGGCAGCATGGTCACATGGTGGAACAGGGAGGAATTCATTGGAGCTGCTTGCATCCATTCCAGGAGATTGATTTTATGATAATACCGATATTACCCAAACCAACTTCATGCCAGCTATCCCCAGCTGCCAGCCGCTGCTTCGTCGTTCTACTCGCGTCGCGCGACGCCCCGCAGGTGGACTGGGGCTTCCGCTCGGTGCCCCAAGAGAAGCTGCTGCCGCCAGGGCGGCGGCTGGACATGGAGCGGGGAAAGACCTTGGGCGGAAGCAGCGCCATCAACTACAACATGCGGCTTGGGACAGAAGACGACAGCATGAGCGACTCTGGAGGTGAGTGCCTGGTGAGGGGGATTGATGCCTCAATTTTCGGTGGACTTTGCGGTACTCCCGCTGCGGAGGACCACCATGGAACCCCAAACCCACCAGCTTAATCCACTTGGTCTTCGGAAAATGGTCGACATTACGGGTCTTCCTTCTCAGGTTCCATCGGAGACTGCTTTGCGGTATGGGGACTGCTTGATGTATCGCAAAACGACTTGGGACTCTACTGGTGGCCCATGTGGGTTTCAGGCTTTCATAACCTTTGGGTCGCGCCGGCAGATCTCAGGTGGGTTCGGGGCGCGCCGGAAGACTACGACCGCTGGGCGGAGGAGTTTCAGTGTCAGGGCTGGAGTCACTGGGCTGGAGGAGCGGAGCTAGCGTTTGGACCGCGCGCAGGGCTGGTGGAAGCTTCAGCGCGCCCAGTTTCGCCGTTTTTCAACTGTCGAATTTTGCTGGTCGGATGTGAACTCCAATGAATGTTCAAGTAAACCGCCCAATTGAGCAACCAACCAAAGTGCAGGAGAATTCCTTTGAGCTGAAACCAACCAAAAAGACTGTACACCGACCAACGAAAGCCTAAGAGGCTTCCCAAAGGCCGGACTTTCCTGCGTCTTTCTTCCGGCGGCCGCATACCATCAGGAGGTCAACCCAACCCATACCCATAACCCCATACCCCATCATCTCCACTCACTGTCAAACCAACCACACCCGACAGTGATGACATCCCAGTGTGCATCAAACCAGTTCTTTCGCCCAGTTGAACCCACCTGGCGAAGCCAACGTGTGCCTGCTGCATGCATGAAACTTCATCCCCTGGCCCCCGTCATGTTCTTCTCCACCACGGTTTTCAGGGGTTCATTCAGTCTTGATGTATCTTGATGTCATTTTGGCAGGAGGATTCTAGTAGAAGTGACACTTCAAAAGCCCAGTTCTTCCACCTCCCTCCCACGGTGTTCTCAGGTTACCAGGAGGTCCTCCCTCACTTCAAGTCCGTGGAGCGCGTCAGCGCCGCCATCGGCGACGCGTCCGGCGACGCGGCGTCGAGCGCCGCCGCATTCCGCGGCCGCGGCGGCGCGGTCAAGGTGAACACGCTGCACCCGCCGATGCTCGGTTCGTGCCAACGGGTCGGGTCGGTGAGGTCGGAGGGGGAGGGGGAGGTACTACACTGCAGTGAGGTGGCCGGCCTACAGCTTTTTGGGATGAGCTTTGTAGATGAGCTGGCGGAAGTTGTGTTGGAATAGTCTTCGAAACCGGTTTTAAAGGTTGGTTTTGCTGCTATTTGGGGGCCAAAAGCTCTTGCATCCCACTGGAGGATCTAGCGATCTACCCTACATTCCGGCGTTTCCTCTCGCGCTGGACCGACCATCGCCGACCTAAGCCGAGGATGGAGGAAGTGGAAGACTTCTTGAGGCGTGTGCAGGGCGGAAGAATCATGCCATGCGTGGGCGCCACTTTCGAGGGAAAAACCAAAGGAAAAGGTGCCATCATTCTATTTGGTTGCAGATGTTCTTTGCAAGGCCCGAGGGGCCAACCACGGCAGACCCCCAGCAGCAGTTTGATTCAGAGAAGGTGAATCACTGCTTCGCCAACTGACATCCATCTAAAACACACCCCAAACAGCACATGCGTCGATCTAGAGAGATGTCTCATGTTCAGGTCAAAACAGTGGTAGGACTGCAGGCGTCCGGACTGGATCGAGGAAATCCGGGTGTTTCGAAGACTCGAAGGCCGTTTCCTTTGGATCTCTCAACGTGTCCATAGCTGTGGAGTGGTCAAGGAACTGTCACTGTCGGTGTTGGAGGTTGCTCCACGGGTTGAACATTCAAAAAGAAAACACAAGTACCATCAAAAGTTCCGTGGAAAAACATCGAAACTTGTGTGTTTTTAAGTCTTTAACCCTTACTGGACCTCCAGTCGTACATCCTCAGGTTCGGTATGACTGGACCACTGGAGGTTTCAGGGTAAGGTGTCTTTCTTGAATTTGTCCTATTTTCTGACTGGTGCTTAGTAGAGAATGAGGGAATGAGCCCCCAAGAGAGACTCCTTTGGGTCCATTCCCTCATTCCCTACTAAGCACCAGTCAGTTTTCCATCCTTCAGACCCCGTCCTCCTGTCACGCCGTAACTTGAAACATGCTTCCCGTCCCGCATCGCTTTTTCCAGGGCCTGCGAAGAGACGGGCGACGCGCGGAACGAGGACTACAACGGCCCGCGCCTGCCCGGCGTAGGCGCCCGGTTGACCGGTTCATTGGGGGGGGGAATATGTAGCGCGACGTGGCTGCTGCAAGCAGCGCGAAGTGGCAAAGTAGAGTGCACAGTAGATAGAAGAAGTAGAAGTCGTTGAAATGGACGCATATTGACATCTCATGACATCTCATGACATCTCATGACTCATGACCTTCAGCGAGCCAAGAAACAGTGGGAGTGGATGGAACCCGTCGTTGTGTGGATGTTCCCACTCGGTCCTCCCATCTCAGCACACGCTCGGTCCGCTCAGAGAGGCTCGGTACTTGGAGGTTGGCTTGGATTGGGCGACGCGTCAAGATGTTGTGGACACTTAAAAAGGTTGAAAGTACTATAGGGCTACAGTACCCACTGGGGAGTTTGGCCCCAAGTGTTTGGTTTCAGTGGAGACACCTCCCACTTCTAAATGCTCGCTTGTTCTTTTGTTTCTTGCAAGCCAGGTTGCACTTGCACACATGAGTTTCGGTGGTTGCCATATGGCTCCAAGTCGAGCACTGGCCGAAGAAGCAGTGTTTTTTGAGAGGACACCAAACCAAGGAGGGTTTGGAACTTGTTTGCCTGTAATAAACTTCAGATACCTTCAAGGTTGTGGCAACCAGTGTCTCTTGTTACCTTCCTTCATCATCGTTTCATGCAGTGTCCCGCGACGTCGGGTTGGGTTGTGCCCGCGGTAGGCTACACGCAGTTCAACACCGAAGGAGGCGGTCGGGCCGAAACGGCGCAAGATGAAAGGATCGAAGGTGTACCGGTGTACTTGTAAGTCTACGTTGGGTTGATCCTAGTATAGATTCTTTGTGGTTCTTTCAATCACTGTAACAGGGTTTCTTTTTCGGTCATCACTGTCTTGCCGTAAGATGTGGTCAGATGCAGGTCTGGGGGCAATGTGCAAGTCAAGTGCATGTCAAGGGCATGTGCGTTCAAAGCAACGGAGCTTGATGACTTGTCCGTTGCTGGTCCAAGAACCCTGGCGCCAGCAGAAGAACTGATCCAATACCAACTCCGGATTGTCCTATCCCCTCTAAGACGTCAGTGGGTAAAGATCTTCAAAGGTTTTGCTATGGGTCCCACTCGCAAATCCTCCCAAGCAAAGGTATTGAAACCTTTTCCCTGTAGACCCAAAAACAGCAAGAAACTCTTGACCTCCACAAGTATAGGAGAAAACCAACAGAGGCGGTCCAACATCTTGGTTTCTTGAAAACAGAGACGGTAAACTATATAGCCTTTACATGTTTGATCATGTCTGGTTCCCCAAACAGTGTGGACACACTTACGGGTTCTCAAGGTAGAGGTTCAGCAGCTGTGCTTAGATCGCTGGGACGCACGGACGTCAACGGCTAATTCACTGCCATTTACAGTACATTCATGCCTCTCGAAATCCTCGAAGTGCATTTCCACTGCACAGGCTCGCGAAATCTGCGTGCGCGCGGCGGGTGCTTGTAGCGACAGCGCTCTCATTGTGGCGCCGTGCGCATTTTCGCACATGGTGGTCACATTTCCTGGCAGGTGCAAGGGAAACCTCGTGTTTTCGTGGTCCAATGTCGACTTTTCGTGACAGGTGCAAGGGATCGGAGCGGCTTTGCTTCGAAGTGCAGATTTCGTGGCAGGTGCAGCACTTTGGACATGGTGGCGCTCTGATTTCGTGACAGGTGCAGCGAATCGTAGACATGTGGCTCGTTGGCAGATTTCAAGGCAGGCGCAGCACTTTGTTGTGAACCTCGACGCGCAGATTTTGTGGCAGGCGCAGCACAGTAGAGAATGCAATGGTCGCAGGATCCTATAGTTCTCGATATAGGAGCGCACTTTAACGTAGAACCTACTTGTCGTAAAGACTAAGGAAAAGGCGGATAAGGAAAGGACAGGACACCTTACCCTTGGACAATTACATTCTTTACCATTATCCCGGCAAGAGACCCCAAACAGTGTGTGTGAGGTCTACAAGCAGAAAGTCTAGAGATCTAGACGCACTGGGGTCCAGAAAGGTGATGGTGGTGATGAAGGTGGAGATCGTGGTGATGGTGGCGGTGGTGGTGAGTGTGACTGTGAGTGTGAGTGTCAGTGTGAGTGCGAGTGTCTGTGAGTGTGTGTGGGAGTGAGAGTGTGAGAGTGAGTGTGAGAGTGTGTGTGTGTGAGCGCGTGTGAATATGAGTGTGAGTAAGATGAGCTTCTGAGAGCACAAAGTGCTGCCCCTAAGTGCTGTGCCTGCCACGAAAGCTGCAGTTCGAGGTTCACAAAGTGCTGCGCCTGCCACGAAATGTGCACTTCGAGGTTCACAAAGTGCTGTGCCTGCGACAAAGTCTGCACTTCGAGGTTCACAAAAAGTGCTGCGCCTGGACAAAGTGCTGCGCCTGTCACGAGATCTGCACTTCGAGCTTCACAAAGTGCTGGGCCTGGAGGTTCACAGAGTGCTGCACCTGCCACGAATTCTGCGAACGAGCCACATCTCCAGAAGTCGCGATTGGATTTCTGCTTTGGTGACTCCAGGCCCAGTGCCTCGACCACAGACTTGTGTGGCGAGTGCTTTTGCGGGAGAAATGGCAGACCTCAGTGGACAGGGGTTTCTTCTATGTCTTTGCCTACAAGGTCAGCACTGTAAAGCTAAGCGTGCGAGAACATTTACGGGTCATAACACGCAAACGTCAAGGGGTTACTGTCCTTTCCGTTTCAGGGCTCATGAGCACGGCCAAGTGTGTAAGCACAGTCGCTGCGCCGGGGCCTGGGGTGCATGTATGTCTTATTGGGCAAAAAGAATGTGAACATTGCTTCTTGCCAGGCGGAAGTTTCGGCTGTTTGCTTTCCTTGTGTATGTGCGCTTGGCGCGGCAGCTGAAGTTTCGTCTTTTGGCTTTCCTTGTGTATGTGCGTTTGGCGCGGCGACCTCAGCTGCTTTGATCTTGCCGGACTCAATTCGAGGCAAACGATTTCGTTGACGGCTTAACGAAGTATTGCAAGAAATTGCTCTATGCCACCAATGCTGTTCGCGCAATACAGATAGGGCGCTCCAAGGCAAGTGGCTGCACAATGTTGCACAACGTTACTATTTTGTTGCTGGTTCATTCTCTATCAATGAGTCAGGGTCTTCGAACGCGATTATTCTTGACAGGACCCCTATCGGTTGAGACGGCCACCCGACGACACTTCGACGGCAGGGCGATTGAAAGAAAAACCTTCGCACAGGCAAAAAGGCGGCTCTGTGTGAGACAGTGGAGGTGATCGTGCATGAGATGATAGCGCACGCGTCCAGACAGCCCTGCTGGTTGTCTGGCCTTGAGACTTGTGCACGCGCCACAAGGGCCCTTGCCTGTAGATGCAAGAGGGTTCTTGCACGCACGCGTCCAGACAGCTTTGCTGGTTGTCTGGCCTCGAGACTTGCACTCCTTGCACTCGTGTGTCAAGGCGCCCTTGACTCTAGATGTAACAGGGTTCTTGCGCGCACGCGTCCAGACAGCCCTGCGGTGTGTTTTTTGTGATTTCGCTCTTTTTCTCAAAGACACTAATGACCAGAGAGGTTTCGTTTGAAAACAGTAAGCTATTCCAAAAGGCGGTCGAACGTAACAGTTAAACTCCCTGGAAAGTGGGACTGTGTACCAAGGGAAACCTGAAAATGCAAAATCACACAGTGGCGTATACGAACACAGACAAACACACACATATGAATCTAAAAAATGACAGCGCATGAGCAAGCAACATATTTAAAAAGGAGCCCACGAACCCGAATGCAAACACGCTCGAAATGCTACATATGTCCAAATCACACTCTTGTAGGACACTCTTGTGGGACACTCTTGTGGGTCACTCTTGTAGGAAACTCTTGTGGGACACTCTTACGGGACACTCTTGGGGGACACTCTTGTGGGACACTCTAGTAGGAAACTCTTGTGGGACACTCTTGTGGGACACTCTTGCTCTAGTAGGAAACTCTTGTGGGACACTCCTGTGGGACACTCATTTGGGACACTCTTGTGGGACACTCTTGTGCGACACTCTTGCAGGACACTCTTGTGGGACACTCTTGTAGGAAACTCTTGCTCTTGTAGGGCACTCTTGTACTCTTGTGGGACACTCTTGTGGGACACTCTTGTAGGGCACTCTTGTGGGACACTCTTGTAGGACACTCTTGTGGGACACTGTTGCGGGACACTCTTGTGGGACACTCTTGTGGGACACTCTTGTGAGACACTCTTGCGGGACACTGTTGCGGGACACTCTTGTACACTCGTTTGGGACACTCTTGCGGGACACTCTTGTGGCACACTCTTAAGGGACACTCTTGTGAGACACTCTTGCGGGACACTGTTGCGGGACACTCTTGTGGGACACTCCTGTGGGACACTCATTTTGGACACTCTTGCGGGACACTCCTGTGGGACACTCTTGTAGGACACTCTTGTGGGACACTCTTGTGGGACACTCTTGTAGGACACTCTTGTGGGACACTCTTGTAGGGCACTCTTATGGGACACTCTTGTGGGACACTCTTCTGGGACACTCTTGTGGGTCACTTGCAGGATACTCTTGTGGGACACTCTTACACGACACTCTTGTAGGACACTCTTGT